TGATTTCTCTTTTTTGTTTTATTTTATTTTATTTTATTTTATTTTATTTTATTTTCATTCAGAAATGTTAAGCTGTGCCTTCAGGAAAACAACATCCTTCAAAACAAAAATCTACAAAGTCCAAAGGAGGAGGAGTAAATAAGTGAAGACGTGTCCGTCATGGGACAGACCTGTCTGGACTGTGGTGTGTGGTGGGTCACAGAGGGGGGGTTATATTCATGTTCTGGGCCTTTAACTGTTTTGCATCCGGAGCAGGTTCTCCAGCAGACACCAGCTTTACTCCGACTAAAAATATATCTTCCACGAGTTTATTACCACAGAGATACCAGGTATGTTACGCGTCGATATTGTGTTGATTTAATGTAAGGATACCATACTTAGCATACCAACCTGACAGCCGCACAGTCTGTGTTTATATCAGATAGCCTGCTAGCTTGTTAGCGAAATAGGCCAAAACGGCAAATGGAGGCGATTTGGGATGGGTTTTTTTGGAGCTACTTTTACACATAAACTAATTTAAGCTGATTTTCTTTTAGTCTTACTACAACTTAAATAACAACGACCAGAAAATCAGTTTTTATCCTTAGAAATGAAGCAGAAGGGATGCATTAGCTGGGGGCTAAGCTAACATCGAGTCGGACACTGGGAAACCACCATCATGATGATGGCAGTGTTATCAGCAGATGATGACCATCTGCTAATGAATAACGACTCCTTTATTCTGCTTAGATGCTACATATAAGCAAGTGGCAGCTTTATATAACCATTTTATAAAGTTATTTTTCACCATTTAGTGTCATCTTTCAGCTGATTCACCCTGACTCATAACAAGAATGAACATGTCATGTTGCTTATCCTCCACCAAATCACCAAAATAGTTATAYTTGTTTTGTTCTTTAAACGTACAGACACATTTAAATTTGTTTGTATCCCAATGATAAAGTAAGAAATTGTCACTGAAATAACTTGAAACTCAGTAAAGTAGCAACACATATTATCTATTATCAGTCACTGTTTTTCTATTTTGGTTCAGCAGAGTTGTTTTAAAAATAAATCAATGAAACTGGCCTTGACAAAAAAAAAAGGAAGGCACCTCTAAAAACGAATGGGACATGTTAAACTAAGATGTGGCCTGTAATTAGCACATGTGTCTTCAATTTAGTAATCAGTCTGTCTATTTAAAGTGTGAAAAGTAGTCACAATACTGTTCATTAGGTCGTTTTATTCAGTCGACATGATATTTTCTGTAATATACTTAGTACTGTTATCAGAATTCATCAGTGGGGTCGAGGTCAAGCTCAGTTTCTGTGGGTCCCAGCATACGAGGGGTTCAGTAGAAATGAGAGAAGTAACAGAATGGCTAAAGAGGCTCTAAATTAAAGCACTGTGGAAATGAAAATTAAACTCAGTAAATTTGAGGTAAAGGGCATAGCATGGAGGCATACAAGTCAGGAATGGCAAAGGGAGTGGGATATTGGAAAGAAGGGGAGGCATTTTTATCACATTCACAATAGAAGAGCGGAGTTCAGGGAGAGAAAAAAACAATTATCACAAAAATTAGATTAGAACACCAAAGAGCACACTATATGTGCTAGGAAAGCAGGAGACAGGAAGGTGTGAAGGTAACCAGGAAGAGTAGACAGTTGAGCATGTGATATTAAAGGGATCCATGACTGGTTGTAACATTAGACTTTATTTAATAAACATATACAGTATTTTAACCGTAAAATAAAGACTGTAAAAATACTGTAGGATGTTTAGTTTTGTAAATTTTTAAAATATATTTATTTTAACATGGACAAAGC